TACATAGAGATTAAATATTACATTCTTAAATAATCAAAGAACCACAGATGGAAACAGTTCCTAGAACCAAATGATAATGCCAATACAAGGGCTGGGGATAATGCCAATAGAACATATAAAACCTATGGGATACAATGAAAGTGGTCCTTTGAGGGAATTTACAGCTGTGAATGCCCACATCAGAAAAAAGAATGAGCCAAAATAACCTAATAATGAACCTTAAGGTCCTAAAAAACAAGAATAATCCAAATTCAAATTCAGTATAACAAACGAAATTATAAAGATCAAAGCAGAAATTAATGAAATTGAAACTAAAGAAAACCCTAAAATCAAACATGCAAAACAAACAAACAAAAAAAACAAAACAATCAATGAATTGAAGACTTTTTCTTTAAAGGAATAAATAGACATCCTTTAGCCAATCTTACCAAAAAAGAAGCAATCTATTATCAATGCAGTTACAAATTAAGGGCAAATCACAAAGGGCACTACTGAAATCCAGATTAGTTAATAATTACTTAGAAAATCTGTACTTTTTTTTTTTTTTTTTTTTTTTGTGGTACTGGGGATCGAACTCATGACCTTGTGCTTGCCACGCAGGTGCTTATGCTGCTGAGCTAAATCCCCAGCGCCAGAAAATCTGAACTTTAATAAACTGGAAAATACAAAAGAAATGGATAAATTCCTAGAGACATATGAATTACCAAATGTGAACCACAAAGATCTAAAACCCTGGATAATCCAGTAATGAACAATAAAAATGAACCTACCAACTAAGAAAAGCCTTGGATTTGATGGATTCACTACTGAATTTGACAAGAACTTCAGGAAAGATCTAATGCTAACATTCCTCAAACTCTTTAATCAAACTAAAAGGGAAGAGGACTGCCAAAGTAATACCTGGAAGCTATCAATACCTTAATTCCAAAACCAGACAAGGACACTACTATAAAAGAAAATTTTAGGACAATATCTTTAATAAAAGTTGATGCAAAGATCCTTAACAAGATGGTGGCAAACAGAAAGCAGTAAGTCATTAAAACAATCATACGTCATGACTAAGTAGGCTTCATCCTATAGATGTAAGGATGGTTTAACATATGCAAATCGATAATTACATAACAAACAACAGGACAAAAATCACACATGATCATCTCAAAAGACATAGAAGAAGCTTTTGACAAAATCCACCATCTGTTCATGACAAAAATCCTGAAGAAAACAGGGATAGAAGGACCTTATCTGGACTGGCTAAAAGCCATTTATGACAGACCTACAACGAACATTTCATTAAATAGGGAAAAGCTGAACGCTTTCCCTTGTACAATCAGGAAAGAGACAAGGGTGTTCAACATTGAGCAACTTCTGTTCAACATAGTACTCAAAACTTCTGCCAGGTAAGAGAAATGAAAGAGATACATAAAGAAAGGAAAAAGTCAAACTAGACTTATTTGCAGATGGCATGATCCTCTACCTAGAAGAACCAAAATACTCCACTAAAACACTGCTCAAATAAATAACCAAATTCAGCAATGTAGCAGGATACAAAATCAATACACAAAAATCAACAGCATTTCTGTATATCAATAATGAACCCACTGAGAAAGAAATCAGGAAAACTACACTATTCACAGTAGCATAAAGAAAAATTAAAATACCTAGGAATTAAGCTAACAAAGGAAGTGAACAATCTCCTAACTACAACTACAGTATTCTTTTTTGATACTGGAAATCGAACTCATAACCCTCACGCCTGCCAGGCAGGTGCTGTGGAAACTACAGTATTCTGAAAAAGGAGATTAAAGAGGACAGGAGAAAATGGAAAGATATCCCCTGTTCCTGGATATGGCCATAATACCAAAACTGTTATAAAGATTTAATGCTATCCCAATCAAAATACCAGCAGCATTCCCTACAGAACTAGAGGAAACAATTCTAAAATTCTTATGGAATCAGAAGAGACCCAGCAATTCTGAGCAACAAGAGCAAAGCAGGAGGCGTGATTATCCCAGTATTCAAGTTATACTATAAAGCTACAGTGATTAAAACAGCATGATACTGGCACAAAAACAAACACGTGAACTAATGAAATGGAAGACAGGATGCAGAAGTGACACTACACACATTCAACCATCCTAAAAAATTTTGGGCTGGGGATTTAGCTCAGCGGCATAAGCACCTGCCTTGCAAGCAGGTAATCGTGAGTTCGATCCCTGGTACCGATAAAAAGGAAAAAGACAAAAAAAGGAAAAAAACATTTTTAACAAGGGGGCTAAAAACATACGCTGGAGGACAAAAAAACCTCTTTAACAAACAGTGTTAGGAAAACTAGCTATATACATGCAGAAGACTGAATCTAAACCAATTATCTCTCATCATATACTAAAACTAAATCTAAATGGATCAAAGATCTAAATAATAAACAATCTGCTGGAAGATAAAATAGATAAAATTCTGGAAGTCATAAGGCATAGGTGTGAATTTTCTGAACTGAGTGCCAGCTGCACAATAATACTGTATCAGGAATTGACAAACAGGATTAAAGCAAATGAAAAAACTTCTGGATACTAAAGGAAGCAACCAGCACAGTGAAGAAACAATTTTCAGAGTGGGGAAAAAAAATCTTTGCCAGCTATACTTCAAAGAGAAGACTATTATCTAGAATATAAAAGAATTCAAAAAAAAATAAGAGACCCCAAAATAAGAGACCCAGTCAAAAAACAGGGAACTGAAAGGAACAGACACTCTTCAAAAGAACTGGTACCAATAATGTGTGAGAAAATATTCAACACCTAAATGCAAGTTACAACAGCACTAAAATTCCATCTTATTCTATAAAAAGAATGGCTACCATTAAGAAATCAAATAATAACACATGTTGCTGACACGGCAGGGAAAAAGGAACTCTTCTCTATTTATTATTGGTGGGAACATAAACTAATATACCTACTATGGAAATCATTATGGAGATTCCTCAAACAATTAAAACTAGAAATTCATTTGACCCAGCTGTTCCAAACCTTCTAGGTATCGTCCAAAAACATTTAGAAATATCAGATTACAGTGATATATGCATACTCATGTTTATAGAGCATGCTCATATACATATACACAGCAGCACAACTACCCAATCCTCTGGATTCAGCCCCCTAAATTTTGGAAGCAGCCAACATGTCCACCAACAGGTGAATGGATAAAGAAAATGTGGTATTCATATACTAGGGAGTACTGCTTTGTCATAAAGAAGGATAAACTTGAATCATCTGTGAGAAAATAGATACAACTTGAGATCATAATTCCATGGTTCTCTTCTATGAGAAAATGAAAAAACAAAATAAAAAGATAGATAATATGGGGCCGATGTTTCATAAATGGTAAGAGGATTAAAGATGAAGGGAGGAAGGGAAAGGAGACATAAAAAGAATTAAGTTATGTTATCTATATGTAACAACTCCTTATTTTGAATGAAACCATTATGTACTGCAAACATTACTAATAAAAATAAAAATAAATCTTGAAGTCCTGTACCACTTTCACTGTTTTGTTTTGGTTGGTTTTATTCTGTTCTGTTTTGTTTGATTTTATTATGTCTTATGGTATGGGCAGCTATTTTGAAGATAACATGAGGCACTATAGCCATTGTTGATTTCCTATTATCTTGTTTTGAAGTCCTGTACTGCTTTTATTGTTTTGTTTTGACTGGTGTTATTCTGTTACATTTTGTTTGGCTTAATTCTCTTTAAAATGAAATTAATAAAAAAATGAATTAACTGTTTCTATTTAGGTTCTTTCTAAGGTAATACAGAAACGCTAATGTAATTTAATCTTACTCTGGTACTACTTGATTATGATACTCCTTAAATTACATTTCCCAAATGCAACATTATCTTTATGGTGGTGTTCGGCAAATACAAAAACAACTACCAAAACTATGAATGACTATGAACTACGGATACTCGAGGAGAGACTGCCCCCTTGTGCCAATCAATAACTATTTAACAAATTAAGAAAGAACGAATAACTAGTTTCAATACTACAAGTATGCAGGTGCTTAAAAAACACCTCGATCAGTTGGTAGAACAGCTCAGTGATAATCCTGACTATTGCCAAAGTACTGGGTTCCACTCCCAGCATGCATACATGTACAGACCTTGGTATTTTGTTTTGCCTTGTTTTCTGTTACTGGTTTTGGGCTCTGCTTTTTTGAGACAGGACCTCATTATATTGCCTGGGGTGGTCTCAAACTGCTTGACTACCCAATCCTCTGGATTCAGCCCCCTAAGCAACTGGGACTACAGACATATATCATCACATCTAGCTTTGTGGGTTCTGACTTTAACAGCTTATATTTAAAGTGGTGATCTTTAAGGACACATAAATTGAGGCAGTACCTTAAGTTCATAAAACATGACTAATTTATGATATTCAATAGCAACTATCAATTTAATTCCTAAAACTGTAATTTATACAAGCAGCTTATAGGCTGAGTTCAAAAAGTAGTAATTTTTTCATTTTTAAGTTCTACAACAAAATACAAAAAGCAAAAAACTCCACTATATTTCAGAGAAAAAAATACAGTTCATGTGAGTTTCTAGGTACTTTTCTTCTAAAATCTTGGAAAATAAAACTTTTGGAGGGATTTGATATATGGTTTAATTATTCCTTATAAAGCTGACATTACTAATAAACTGTAGTATGGAACAAAAGTATTAGAATAAACAGATTTACCAAAGAGAAGAATACATTAATGTAATAAAAACCATGTTACAGGTTAAAAAAAAAAAAAAAAAAAGTGAAGTAAAACACTCAATAGCACAGTATCTTTCCTAACTATGGGTGGAACATTCAATTCCATTTCTATTGAATAGTTATTAGGAGAATGGAATGCATTATTACAGATAAAGCACTTACTATAATAAGCTATGAAATATTTATTACATAAGTAAATGAGTTAATAAGCACAGAAACTGCGTAGTACTCATACACTCTAAAATACCTACTTTCGAAGGTGGTCATGTTCTTTCAAAAATAGTTCAGTTCTCCTGTTGTTTACTCCTGACCCACTTTTATATGACCTAGAACAACATAAAGAAAATTTAAGAATATTTTTGGAACATAATTCAAAATTAGATTAAGTGACTAATGCTAGTGATATCAAAAGTAGACATACTGTCCCTAGTTTTGATCTTTATGCTATCATAAATAGACAAATATGAATGCTTCTCTATTTCTTTTTCTTGAGACAGGTACTTTATATTGCAGGCAGATCCTGAACTTGCAGTCCTCTTGCTTCAGCCCTAGGATTGTGGACATGAGCCACCAAGCATGGTTCTACTTCATAAAACACTATTCTTTCATCAAAAACACCTAATATTCTCAACAACTACCAAAATCTTACTTTGACTATTATCTTCTGCATATTAATTTTTCTAAGTAAAACCTTGAATTGACGAGTACATCACACATAGAGTGGGGAAGCTATTGAAACAGTATTTTCTTTCGTAATAGTACATGCCATCCAACAAATGAAGGTGTAAGTGTTTGATGAACTGCCAATTTGGGAACACTTAAGGACTTCTATCTTAGTCTCCAGCATACTAAATTTTACTTTAAATAGCCTTTTACATTACTGCCAACACTTCTGTTTTTTGTTTTCTGTTAGCATGAAGTATCAAGAATAGATTTTGAAACTTAAGAAACTGCACAAACGCTGCAGTAAGAAAAAAAAGACAGACATGTTGCTAACACTGAGAAGGGAGGGAGGAAAAGACAAATCTTTAAACTTATGAACCGAAATAGCATAAAAATGTTGGCAGTCTTTAATTTGATGCAATGTTTGTATTATCTCTAAGAAAAACTACATATTTCAGAATTTTAGGGAAATATAGGCTGCATAAATAGCTACCTGAATATGTAATTGTGGAGCAAGGGAGAGAAGCAGAATATGGGTGGTAATCAGGAAGAGAAATGTGGAGAGCTTCAACTATTGCTAATATTGTAATGCTCAGAGCAGTAAGAGATCAGCAAAGAACTTACGAAGCTATCATCTAAACTGGATTTTATATTAAAATAGAAAAGACAGGAGACAACAGTAAAACCAGAAGAAGCAGGAGATGGGACAAAATAGATTACGACTATCTTAAAGCAACAGTGTTCAAAGAACAGTGAAATGGGAATTAGAAACTCTGGTTTTGCTATGTAATTTATAACTAATTATAGATATATTTCAAATCTGGAAAAATATTCCATAAATTAATATAAAAAGTAACTTACTCAATATCTTTTCGTACTGATCCCATGAGATTTTCCCTTTCTCGTATTGCCACAAAGTTTGCTTTGGTTTTATGAAACTCATGTGTATAATCCTGCAATAAATGAATATTCAGACTCAACATGAAATAATTACATATTTTCATCTTACTGAATCAGTTGTGTATGGTTATCATATTGCAAATTTCAAGATACTACTCTTCCTATCTTTTAGTACCATATCTTTTGATTCAAAATTATAAAGAAAAAATTCTAGGATAAAATGACTTCAAAATGGTCTAGGGCAATGATGGTGAATCTTTTAAAGTTTTTTTTTGCTAACAAATAGCTCACTGTAGCACGATGCCACAAGTTTGCCACCACTGGCCTGGATAAAAGTTGGCAAGTTTATTCTACTTCATTGTTATACCTCTTGGGGCTTATTTTCAAGTTTCCTCCTTTTGGGGCTCCTAGAAATTTAATTCCTAAATTAATCAAAGGAAGAACAAAATCAAGAGGATTGTAAGGAAAGAATAATCTGTAAACATTTTCCTTTGTTTTTGTATGAATTGTAGACATTGTAGACATTGTAGATAGGAATATTTCCTGCTTTAATTCTGAAAAGAGTATTTACTGATTTAAATCTAAAAGCAGATAAAAATGAAAATAAAAAATCTCACCTCTAAGAGATCCTATTAACCTTTTAAACAATATTATGCACAGATATGAAAATATTCAAAGAGCACCCAAAGTGTTAAAGCTAAACAAACAAAAGTATATTTATTCCACTGAACTATTATCACCTTCTCATGCTTCCTTTCAGGAAATATATTTTTGTATATAAAAATTTACTTATTATTTGTTTTTTTTTTTTGTTAAAGAAATCATAATATAATTTTGATGCATACTTTATTTTTTATAGAGTCTAAAATATCAATCAATCCACACTGTCAAACAAATCTCACCTACAAGCCTTTTTTTCCTTTATTTTTGGTGGTGCTGAGGACTGAACACAGGACACTGGGCACACTAAGGCGCTCTACTAAGCTACATCGTTCTTTTTAATAGCTGCACAGAATATTATCTTCTGATTCTATAAATTTTAATTCCCTACTCATAGACATTTTAATTGCTTTTGGTTGCTTTGCTATTACGAAATGCTACAATAAACATTCTTGTACTCTTATACATGTATTTTGTTGAATTTTTTCTTTTTGTAGTTGTACTGGGGATTGAATTTATGGCCTTTGCACTGAGCTACATCCTCAATTCTTTTTTAATTTTTAATTCTGGGATGGGGGGGCTGGAGGTTTAGCTCAGCGGCATAAGCGCCTGCCTTGCAAGCAGGCAATCGTGAGTTCGATTCCCGGTACCGATAAAAAGGAAAAAGACAAAAAAAAAAAAAAATTCTGGGATGGGGTCTTGATAAGTTACACAGGCTAGGTCTGAATTTGCCATCATCTTGCCTCAGCCTTGTAGAGTGTTAGGATTACAAGGGAGTACCATCATTCCTGGCTTGTTGACTTTTTTTTAAAAAAAGGCTTATTTTGAGCTGGAGATGTAGACTAGTGGAAATCAGTGTGAAGATTCCTCAAAGAACTAGAACTAGAGGTCCCATTCAACCAAGCTACTCCCTTTCTTGGTATTTTCCTGAAAGAGAAGCATCATACCATAGCAATACGTGCATACCCATCTTTATAGTGGCACACGTTGTAAAAGCTAAACCTTGGAAACAGCCCAAGTGCCTATCAACTAGTGAATGGATAAAGATGTGGTTTTTTTATACAACAGAGTAGTCAATCATAATGAAGGATAAAATTGAGACATTTCTAGGTAAATGGAAGCACCATATGCTTGAGGGAAATAAGCTTGACACGTTTGTAAATACACAGTTTCCCCATACAGGAAACCAAAAGGGTAAACAATGACCAAAGTACATAATGGCTATTGTGAGATAGGAAGACAATGTTCAAATGGGAAGGGGAACTAGAGAGGGAGAAAGGGGAAAGAAAAAAAACACAAGGAAAGAAAGAAAATATGGAAACAAAGCTTTTGTAAATAAAGAGGGGGACAGGGGTTGAAGAGACGTTAGGGGAATGGGAAAAAACTAGAGCTGGGGATGTAAGCTGTGGTAGCGTGCTTGCCTAGCATATGCAAGGCTCTGGGTTCAATCCCTAACACTGTTTTTTTTAAAAAGCAAAAAACAAAAATGCTACTAAAGTAAAAGGTGTATTTCAAGAATAAATGTTGGACATAGTGGGGTATGCCTGCAGTGTCAGCTACTTAGGAGGCTGACGCTATGCCACTTAGAGCCTATGCCACTTAAGGAATCTTAAAAGGTTTCAAGAAGAGCTGAGGATATACCTTGGTGGTAGAGGACGTGCTTAGCATGTCCTGGGTTCAACCCAGTATTGCAAGGGGAAAAAAAAAAAGGTAAATGCTTAGCTGAAAACTGAACCAAAGAATCATATACAGTACAGTATTTTAAATTCTGATAGAAAGACTATACCAATTTATGTTCATATGTATAAGTACCTATTTTTTATACTTTTGCCAATAATAGGTTACCAAAATTTTAGTAGTTAAAAAATGATACACAGGGGCTGGGGATTTAGCTCAGCGGCATAAGCGCCTGCCTTGCAAGCAGGCAGTCGTGAGTTCGATCCCCGGTACCGATAAAAAGAAAAAAGACAAAAAAAAAAAAAAAAAAAAAAAGATACACAGATCACATTTTAGGGCTGGGGATATAGCTCAGAGGCACAGCACCTGTCTATCAGGCACAAGGTTATGAGTCTGATCCCCAGCACCAAAACCCAAACAAATAACAAACTATCTCATTTTGACTTATATATATTTTATTTGGGAGTATGACTGAGAATTTTTTCATGATTTTAGCCATTCCCCACCTCCCTTGCTGGAGATAAAACCAGGGCCTTGCACATGTTAGACAAATACTCTATCACTGAGCCATATCCCAGTCTTCTGCTATTCATTTTTAAAGTAAATTTATATTCTTTGTCCATTTTTTTAAATTTGCATTTTTCTTATTTATTCCTACAATTTCTCTATATTTTAAATAAGTCAGTTCTTAGTATTAGATCTTATTTAGGAAGTCCTTTATACTACTGAAAATTTTATAAATTTCATCTATGCTTTATGGTGACTCCTCTTTCTTTTCTTTTTTCATTATTTGGTTCTCTCTGTCTCTCTCTCTCTCTCTCTCTCTCTTTTGGTATTGGGGATTGAACTCACGACCTCACACCTGACAGCCAGGCACTGTGCCACTGGGCTATATCGTTAGCCTTGTCGTTTCTCTTTATCTCACTGATTTAAAACACCAATTTGCCAGAAACTCAATTTCCACACATACATGGGTCTATACACGAACTTTATAGGGTTATAACGGGATATAAATTTTTCCCCTCTACAACCAACTTTTATTTATTCTAGGTTTTCAATAGGTTTTAATATCTGACTAGAATTAGGTGCTATTACTAATCTTTACTTGTAAAAGATAAATTTTATTTTTCTTAATTCTTATATATGATTCCAAATGAACTTTGGTATCACTGTGCCATATTAAAAAAAAAGAAACAATGAAAAACACTCTGCTATTTCCACTGGGATGACAATTAATATAGCTGATTTAAAGAGCAATACTCTCATCTAAAAGCAGAACAATTTTTCCTTCAGTTAATCCTTTTCTGTGTCTCTCAGGATTTTACACACATAGTCCTAATTATTTCTTAGTGTGTGTGTGTGTGTATGTGTGTATATATATATATATATATGGATGGATTTTACAGTTTCTTTTCTTTCTCCTTCTGTTTTTTGTACTAGGGCCTAAATGCAGGGCTTTGGACATGCCAACACTAAAGTCTACCCCATTCACAGTTTGTATATAGAAAATTTTGTTGTTTTTGATGGCACTGGGAATTGAACCCAGGACCTTTGTACAGAGCTACATCCTCAGTTATTTTTTAAATTTTGAAAGAGTCTCCATAAGTCGCTAAAATGCTCAAGTTAGACTCACACTGATCCTCCTTCCTCAACTACCTTCTGGCTTTTAGTTTTTTTAAGTTGCTTTTATTTTGTAATTGATCATTATAATGACTTTAATTGATTTTTTTTTTTCAGTTAATTTTCTTGGGTGTTCCAGACACACACTCTTATCCTGTCAGGTAACAGAAACTCTGCCTCTTCTTTTCTAATACTTATCTTCATTTTTTAAAAAACTGCCTTATTGTACCACCAAAATGTTCGACATACATGGCAAATGTTAAGACATATCATGGGTATGCTTGTCTGGTTTTTATCTTCAATGAGAATGTTTTTAATGTGAGCTTTTACTCTGACATTCACAATTATGCAGTAAATAAAGTATTTTTCTATTCTTTTTTTACCCTCCTGTGGTGCTAAGAGTTTGAACCTGGGACTCCTGAGTGCTAAACTCTACTACTGAGCTACACATCCAGCCCTTTTGCTGTTTTTAAAATCAAAATGATTGCTAAATTTTGGATGGGGGGATATGCTGTTTCTGAGACAGGGTCTTGCTATGTAGTACAGTCTGCCCTTGAATTCATGGCACTCTTCTGCCTCAGCCTCACAAATGCTGGGATTTTAGGCATGCTCCACCATGCCCAGCTAATTTTTTTAACATTAAAAAAATTTGTTTCCATTTGGACTACTATACTTTTAATATCCCCTCATGTAAATCTTTAAGAGTTTATCTGGTTTTACTGATACAACTTTATTCTTTAAAAAATAACATACTAAGCACAGTAAATTATTCCCCTTCCATGTTACCTTGAAAGTCTGATGAAAGTGCAGTCTAAACCACCATATTACTGCCTGTACATGACTATTTGGTATCTTCTGTTACAGCTAGACAGCTAGGTTTCCCAAAGTACATTCACCTATCTACCTAAATATTCAACTTTAAGAAAAAGAACAAGAGCTATTAGACATTTTCCTTTTCAGATTTTTATAATATTCACACACACACACACACACACACACACACACACACGTTTCTATAGCATAGCATTTATCTTCTCAGAAGAGTTCTTTCTTTTGCAGCACTGGGGATCCAATCAAAGGCCTGAGACACACTAGGCAAGTACTCTACCACTGAACTACATCCTCAGCCCTTTTTTATTTTTACTTTGAGACACTGTGGCTAAGTTGCACAGATGGGCTTGAAGTTGAGATCCTCTTACTTCCTCCTCCTCAGCAGACAGATTACAAGTGTATGCCAACATTCCCAGCCTCTCTTTATTCTTTTAAACACATCTATAAACATCCTATTTAGGAATTAAGAAAAAAACCCAAGCAAACCCTGAGATAATGTAAAAAGTCGCAAGACCAATATATTACCTGCAATATGTCTCTGTGTCGCTGTAATGTATGCATCAATGCTGCATTCAAGGATGGGACACCTGCACTGTTAGTATATTCTGCCATTTTGTCATTTATCCCAGTAAGCTAGGAAAAAAGGGAAAAATATTTTAGAAAACATTGTAAGTGGCTAAAAGCAAATCATTTGCCTATACATCCTTTTAATTGACAGCAAAACAAAACTAAGCAAAAGAAATCCCAAGACAGCAGCTAAGGACTTAACACCTCCCCCAAACAATCCACTAAAGTTGAAAACAACACCCACATGACCTGGCATGGCTGTCATCAAAATTCAAGTGGCCTGAAGAGGAAAACATTTTGAGCAACTGAATGATTTCAGTCAACATATCTGTATTTATATAAGGCAGTGCCATATCTAACAAGCACTACACAGTTATTATCAAAACAGCAACTTAACAGGAAGTACTTACCCTTGCCAAAAGCTGTTCAATCTCAATTGCCATTGTCTCAAACATTCTGTCCTGGCTCGACCCATTTAAAAGGGGTGTCGTGTCCGAACTAAGGAGAAGTTCAATCAAAGGAATCCATTACTCAACGCTAGTCCTTTAAGACACACTTAACAATAAAATAATTATTCTTATGGATCAAGGAAACCCCTGAAACAGTCTATTTCTTTAGAAATCCATTTTTTATAGTTTTCCAATAAAGATCACACACATCTACAAACCAAATTCACTGTAAAACATAATGGAATGTACAATTTCCTAAACTTTTATATATTCAATCTTAACAATATAAAGAAATTCTAAATGTTTGTTTACATTTATTCAAATGAAAGCAATGTAAAGCTATAACAATGTCCAACTGAATTTAAAAGAACAAATTATGTGAAATAAATCAGCAGAACTGTAGAACTCCTAATAAGAGAAGCCATAAAAATCAATTATATATTGTTACAGAACCTGCAAGAAATCTTTTAAGTTTTTTTTCTTTAAATAATGGTTTCTTAGGCTTTCAATTTGCTCTTCCTCTCTTGATTTTTATTAAGAATAAAGATGAGATTTAAATGATCCAGATTATAGATAATGAATAACCGGGAACTAAAATACATAGTCACGCCCAACTTATTTTTGTACTAAGTTTTTACATTTGTAATATGCAACCATCCCATTTTGTATTACAAAAATGTACTAAATATTTTTATATTGGGATAGTCAAAATCTAACTTTTTACATGTGCAAGATTTTTTTTTTTCTTTTTTTCTTTTTCCTTTTTATCGGTACCAGGGACTGAACTCACAACTGCCTGCTTGCAAGGCAGGCACTTATGCCGCTGAGCTAAATCTCCAGTCCCTGTGCAAGATGTTTGATGTACTCAAATTCTACAGCTGCATGTCCTAGAAGTTTCTTTTGTCTCTTTTTGAAAGAACCCTTCATAACATCCCCAAGTCTGCACTATCATAGGCAAGCAGAGATAATCTGAGCACAGATAAATACCTAGGCAATGACTATACTCTTTCATCTTATTGAAAACTTTCGCCCTGTGACAGTGCTTGGGTGTGGCAAATGAAACCGATTAAAATCATCAGTTCAACATCAGAGAGTGCCTTAGCTACGACTATTTTCCCTTGTACCTTTACTTGTACAGCAATAATAAGCAGTGAAACAGCCAAAATGTTTCTAGTAGTTTTAAGATGTTTAATTAGTTGTGAATTTTATTTCTTCTTAAAACTTTTCAATTTATCTACCCTAATATATAGTCTCAAAATATTTAGTTTTTTATTAAGTGTCAGGGCCAAGTCAAGGTTCTAGGATTGTTTTTAGAATAAGCCCATGCAGAAGTACTACAGATTCCCCCCTGCCAGACCAAAAAATAAAAAACAAAAAAACAAAAACCAAGAAATAGGCCAACAATTTTTTTGGAGATAGGGTTTTGTTATGTAGTTCAAGCTGGCCTTGAACTCACTCACTATGTATCCCGAGCTTGCCTCGGACTTGTGGTAACCCTCTTGTCTCACCCTCCCCAATTATTGGGATTAAAGCCTTACCACCATGTCCAGCTTAATAAAATGCAATCTTGAGAGAAGAAACTGCCTCTGTCTTGCTCACAGATATATGGCTACCACCTGGCACATGGTGAAGGCTCACTAAATATTCGTTGAATAAATGAATAACAAGGTAATCTCTAATATTGCTTGTTCCATATTCATCAACTCAATATATGAGTCTAAGGATATAACAAAAGCCACTTTCTAAATACAGTGTTATTTTGGTTCATGAACTTCATTGTTTCTATTTTGATTCTATTCCCAAACAGAATTGGACAACAACTGAATCAAATTCTATGGTTATGTTAAATGTTGACATTATGGGGAAATTTAATCCAGTTCTCACCCAACTGAGCTTTACCAGGATTCAGTTAAATTTAATCCATTTTATAGGTGTGTGATGATTCAAAGACCTTGAAGTTCTCCTGGGAGAAATGGTCTGGCCATTGCTGAGTTTATTTACTGTGACATGGTTCCAACCTGGACATTAAACAAAATAGATTGGATCTTCATAAACTTAGTTTTTGTTTTTTTTTTTAAAGAAGAATTAGGTGATTGAAATGATTCTGCAAAGCCAAATTCGATTTGTAGAATTTCTTAGGGAATGTTTTCAAAACAGATTTTTCCTATAAAGTAGGAAAAAGTATTACTATGATGAAGAACAGATAATAGTAAAAGCATCATGTAAAAGTATCTCTTAACAAATATGAGTTTCAAAATTGTATATTGGCTGGTCTAATCAAATGGGAGACTTTAAGAAAAGATTTCCAATCATAAATTAATTTTTCTCAAATCCTCCAAAATAAAACCAAACCACTACTTTTTCTTTAATTGCTAAATTATGGTGAGTCCAAAGCACTAGACTAAAATAAAATCTATGTAAAATGCCAAGAACTTATTTTTAGGTCCCAAAGTCCACATATTGGCCCTGGTATCTATGCAACCCATGTGCCCTGATTGAAGAGGAACAACATCTTGGTAATAAGGTGAACAATAAGTCTTGTTCGAATGTGCATGGTATAGTACATTTTAAACCTACTATAGTATACTATAGTAGGTATAACAGGCACAAAATATAGGAAGACAGAGGTTCAGGTTTAAGCTCAATTTTCATTTTATTATTAACTGAAAAATATCATATCCACTACTACTTTTGAAAAAGCATTAAAAACGTACTAGGTTAACAACTAACAAGTCGGGCCAGGGGTTTAACTCAGCAGCATAAGTGCCTGCTTAGCAAACATGAGACTGTGAGTTCAATCCGCGGCACCAAAACAAAAAACACCTAATAAGTTTACTACCAATTTCACTGCCAGGGTATACAGAAACAGCCTATGTAAAAATAGTCCCAGAATGCTGCATGCAATGACACATGCCTCTAATCCCAGCTACTTGAGAGGCTAAGGCAGAAGGACTGTATGTTCAAGACCCACCTGAGCAACTCAGTGAGAACCTGTCTTAAAATAAAACTCAAAAAGGGCTGAAGATGTAGTTCAGTAGTAGCTATATAGCTCAGTATAGCTAAAATAAAACGACTGAACTTGCCCAGTATGCAGAAGGTTCTGCATTCAAATCCCAGTACCAAAACGAAACAAACAAAAATTTGCAACCAGAAAATTTATATAAAGGTTTCGGAACAGTGCTTTAAACATGAAAAACACTGTTCAACTACTAAAATTATTGTTAATTCACAAAAGTCAAAAACAACACCTATCCATTAAATGGGTAAACCATGATATACATGTACAATATTATAAATCAGTATACCAGTGACATATTCATAGTTGTCTCAATGATAATGTTAAACAAAAAATCAAGTTGCAAAACTACTACTGTAGGATACTGCAGATTGCCTACGGATACAAACATATATAATAAAAATACATGGTGGTATACATAAATGGGAGGGAAAAATGGAATGCCATCAGGGACTTTGCAACTGAATCAATAACTATCCTTTCTTAAAATGGGAAATAGGCACATGGAGACTGTTATATTTTTTGTCTTAAATATCACCTAATAGTTTTTGAAACAAGTAGATGACTTAAATTATACATAAGACTCAAAGATAAAAAAGTATTTTCCATAGGTTCAACATAATAATATATTAGTTTCTAAAAAAAGTATCAAACAAAAACAGATTCTATGACTAATGATGGGGGACACACGCTACATCAGGTTTATTTGAAAATAACAAAAAATCAGTAGATATACTTTGCATTTGAGTAGTTCAGATCCATTTAGCAATAAGAAAACACAAAAAACATAACGTGCACAAATAGGCACATTTCTTTATATTGGCTAAGCCAAAAACTTATTTTTTGATACAAATTCATTCTTAGGGTCTAGCAGTTTCCTCCTGAGATCATAACAACCTCTGCCTAGGATCCTAAATAAATGAGTCTCAAGAACTAGAAAGAATTCCAGTAAAGTTACTAAAAAATACACCAATCAATGGCAAGGAAAATAAAACATCAAACAGACAACAGACCAAGTTACAATTTTTTTGGTACTGGAGATCAAACCAGGCAAGCGCTTGAGCCACTGAGCTAAACTCCCAGCCCCCAAGTTACAGATATTATTGTTATTGTATTTTAGTTAATTTTTAAAATGCTTTAAAAAACATTATACAATTTGAGACATTAAGAGACAGAATCTGGCAGTACCTATACCTGTCGCGTCTTCCATCTCTGGCGCTGCCGTGACTGTAACTCGTACATAGTTTACTGAAGGAAACCAGTTTCAGATCAAGTTCATTTTCCAACTGTCGGGCCTGTTTCCTAAGATCTTTAGCAAAAGCACAAAAGTATAATTAGTAAAAAAGTATAAAAGAGTTTATCAACAGACATATAAATCACAATACTCTTCTGAACAAAGTGAACTATGAAAATGATCATGAATTGGTCTCTGATTTAGTTACTCTCAGATAAAGAAGTGTTAAAAAAATAATAAAAGGCTCCACCCACTTAACCCAAGAAAGTAATCGTTCATTTAAACTTCAGATGAGCAAGAAAGGAAGTAACAGTGGAGATGGAAATTTTAACTTTATTCCTAAGACAGCTAGACAACAAATCTTATTTTAACATCCCTAAAATTATTGGTAGAAACAGTAACTAACATTCTGTAATTCAGAGGAAAATAATATAGGTCACAAAATAAATGAATAGGGTTTATGACCAGTTTCATACCAATTTACTAGCTAACTTTATAGGGAAAAAACTATCACTATTTTTGCAAGGATTTTTCTAACTTTTTATGTTTCAAAGCTTTATTAGCTTTATGAGATCCTTTTCATAATACTAAAATGATTTAGTAATTGAACATAAAGAAAAAATAAATTAAAAATTGCTTTTTCACAAACATACTTAAAGTCTAGAGAAGGTAGAACTAACGTACTACTAATAAGGTCAAATATGATTATGACACAGATAAAAGCATTAGTCTAAAAATTACACAAGTTTAAATACAAACAAGCAAGCAGAAAAATTGGTACAGTAGTTTGACACGTAAGGGGTTTAGCGACAGAAGCCACTTCTGGAAATCCATACACATATCTGACTAGATTTATTCATGTTGGAGTTGAGGCTAAAATAAAACGACTGAACTATAGGAGGGAATAATACAAGAATGTCTCGGGGCTGGGGATTTAGCTCAGCAGCATAAGCACCTGCCTTGCAATACCAGGCAGTCACGAGTTCGATCCCCGGTACCGATAAAAAAAAAGAAAAAGGAAAAGAAAAAAGGGCTGGGGATTTAGCTCAGCGGCATAAGCACCTGCACTGCAAGCAGGCAGTCGTGAGTTCGATCCCCGGTATCGATAAAAAAAGAAAAAGACCAAAAAAAAAAAAAAAAAAGAATGTCTCATAGATGAGGAATACAAAACATCATTTCAATGTACTGTGCAATCAGAAGTAAGAAGCAAAGAAACATAGTGAAGCATATTTGTCCAGAGACCAAATCTCAGCTCAGTTTCTTATTGGCTCTGATATTTATTGAAAATTTACTTGATCTATGAACCTCAGCCTTTTGTTTTTTAAACCTCTTATTTTGAGGGGTTTTCTGTGTACTGATAATCATATGCTCAAAGCACCTGGCATAGAGTATGTTGTCAATAATGAGCTGCTTTAAAGTACAGCATAGTACTTTAAAGAACCCATGGCTTAACACAGTATTAAAGATACCAGTAACCACTTTCACATAATTAAAAAGTTTTCTACCTAACACATATTTCAAATGGCTATTTTAATACATGTTTTTAAGCTATAAGCACAATTCTCTGCAATTTTAGTAATTGTCATTTCTAATAGAAAATACCAGGTAAAACATTTTAAAATTATGACAGTCAAGCATGAATGAATTTAATTCAGATTCTTAGACCAAGTGGCTTACAGTAACAGCACCATGGTTTCTAGAAGTTTAAGTGGGTAGCAAGAAATAACCGAAAGAGTAAAAAGATATATATGAATGAAGAATTTTTTATGTTGCAATAAAGCACATAGGCAGTTGAAAGAAAAACAGTGTTTTTTCTCATTGTTGCTTTTCACCGTGGTTCAGGAATGAGTTTCACATGGCTTAACTTGATTGGATCATATTTTCAGGAATTAATGCACTTGTGAATTATAAGAAAGTTTTCTGGTAGAAGAGGTTTAGCAGCAAATACAGTACGACAACGCATACAGGTTCTTACAACTTTCTTTTTCTAACAAAACCTATCCTAAACTGCGAGGCACTGGATAGAGTTATTTTCTGTCTTCAAACACCCAATTCTCCAAGTCCTGGCCAGCTTTCCACGGGGTCTCAGTAGGAAACAGCCGCTCCTACTTCCTCCGATAGACAGCACCGCCAACTTCCTCCTTTCTCTTTTCCCACTCCGTTTCCCAACAGTGACCGCAACCCGAAACGCCTGAACGCTCCACTTCCAAGACTCCGGATCTGGTAGCTCACACCCGTCTCCCCTTGGCGCCCAAACCCCCGAGTTCCGCCGCCCTCTGCTCATTTGCACTGTGGGTGACCCAGGTCCCTCTTCCTCTTCAGCCCTTGTGTCCACTGTCCAGCTCCTGCCGCCTGTGCGGATCTCCGGCCCGGTCAGCCTAGCCCCCTCACCCAGACCGTTTGGTCTCCTCAGCCCCCAGGACATCCACTAAGCAAGTCTCACTCTTTCTTTAAACCGTGTACGAAGCCTGACTTTCTCCCCTGCTGCCTCCCTCAAGACCTGCCCCTCGCGAGACCCACCCGAAGTACTCCCCCTCACCTTCCCAGTAATTGCTCGTCCCAGCCGCCATCTTTGTTGTCCAACGTCAGACGGAACCGAAGAGTAGCAGGCTGCGGGCAAGAGTGTCGCTCTGCGCCTTCTTCCGCCCGAGCGCCAAGGCAGATGGGAATCGCGAACCTCCACACACACCGCCATCTGGTGGTGGATTCGTTAATTGACAGCTTTTGAATAGCAGGACAACATTTTAATTCCAGCCTCTGACGCTCAGTGATGTTCCGCTTTCTGCGCCACAAAGTTTCATCGCCTGCTTCATCTCGGTTTATGTCTTTTCTGCCTATGTGACTAAGAATGATGCTCAGAATGCCCTCAGTTCTCTCCTTTTAAGTGTGTGTTTTCAGTCCCATCCTCAGAGACAGAAGCAGCTCTTTTCCACGTCCCACCTCCTTCTGTGCTCCGTTGCATCTTTCTGGCGGCTCTTCCCTGTCTCTTCTGTAGAGTCCCAGTTCTCTTTCCTTTTCAGCCACCGAATCTACAAACTGTTCTTACAACTGCATCCACATCTCTCATGCTGCCCCACAGCCTGCTACCATCTGCTGTCTATACCTCACTGATCTTAAGTGATCAGTCTCTAGGTGTTGAATTTTACCACTTTTAGTACAGTTGTGGATACTTTTCCTGCTGTGAAGTCATTCTCCCATTCTTAAATAATTGTCTTTAAAAATTTCCTTTACGTGCATTGAAGAACCGTATCAAATAATGCTGTAAGTCTTGCCCCAACTATCAAAATACGGATTTAAGAGGAAAGGAAAACCTATCCTGTTTACTCATATTTTACTTTGCATTGTTCTTTCTTCCTTCCTGTCCTGAGATTCTTTCTCTTATCACTTCCTTTCTATTTCAAGTCCCAAGCCCCTGTTAAGAGTAAATCAGCTGGTGGCAAATTCTAGATGTTTCTTAATCTGAGAGTGGTGATTCCCTTGAACAACCCCTACCTCCGTCCCACCCTGCTCCGTCATTGAAAAATGCCAGTTCCTTCTGTGAGAAGAAATTGTCGTTTGTTTTTCCACTATATTTAAGATATCTTTGCTTTCTCAGTGCCTTCAAGAATTGTCTTTTCCCTTTAGTTTCAGAAGTTGATTAAATCTTTGTAGAGATTTCTCTGGGTTTTTCCTGTTTGGACTTTTTCCAGATGTTTCTCTCTTTTGCTCAGTGTGGAAAATTCTCAGCCATTGTTTCTTTAAATACTTTTGCTTCCCTATCTCCCCCATCTCCCCATACTTTCTGTCTTGTTTTCTCTAGGACTCAATGACATGACTGTTAGATCTTTTGATAAAGTTCCACAAATCCCTAAGACTCTAATTTTTTAGTGGTTTTAAAATCATTGTTGAATAACATCTACTATTCTGTTTTCAAGTTCACTGACAAGTATGTCTTTCCTCTTTCATTCTAGTTTTGAGCTCTTTTGATTTTGTTTCAATTATATTTTTCAGATCTCAAATTTCCATTTAGTTCCTTATTATATCTTGTTTCTCTGAGGAGCCCATGTTTCCTTGCTGCCACTGTGTTTTAAATCATTTCTAAGTTTGTAATTGTTCATTATTAAAGCTGCATTAAAAGCTTTGTTAGATAGTTCTGACATCTACATCAGCTTGATATTGGGGTCTGTTTATCCTTTTTTTTTTTAAGCTCAGGTTGAGATTTTCTGGGTTCCTGGAATAATGAATGATTTTGTAATTACATAATGGACAATAGACATAGTTTTGAGACTGTAGATATTATTTAACTCTTGTTTGAGCAGATTTTCTCTGACATTACACTAGTAGGGGAAACTGCTTGGTACTTCCAAGTGAGAGTAAACATCAGTACCCCAAGTGTGGTAGGTACCTAATTATAGCTGTCTTGTGGCCCCCAATGATAGCACTATATAGAATTTGTTTCCACCAAAAATGATGACAGCCCCGGCTCCTGGCTCTTTACTCTCTATTTTGCTTTCTATGAAGGAGGGAGGGAGGGAGAGAGAGAGAGAGAGAGAGAGAGAGAGAGAGAGAGAGAGAGAGACAGAGAGAGAGAGAGACAGAGAGGGAGGAGGAGGAGGAGGAGGAGAGAAGAGACAGAGACAGACAAGAGACACAGACAAAGAGGAAGAAGGGAAAAGAGACAGAGAGACAGAGACAGAAAGAGACACACAGAGACAGAAAAACCAGATAAGGGTGGAAGTCTAAATTCCCCACTGAGCGAGCACTTGCTGGGAAGAGTAGGGGAATAGGGCAGATGGGATTCAGTTATTTCTGGCGCATTTTTCTGGAGTAGTGCAATTGTCATATAAAAATTTGTTTTGCTAGGCTTCGTAGTTATTAGTCCTTTGTCTAGAGGCTTTCCTTTGGACTTCTCTTATTTGTATTCTTTGGCATTCCTGCTTTTCCAGCTTCTTCAGCACCCATTATGGGAGGAACAGTATGAGCCAAAGAAAAACCCAGGGAACTCACTTGCACGTTATTCTTTGGAAACTGAGGTTCCTACCTGGTCTGCCACCCGCTTTCCACCTTTGGGTGTTTTATATATAATGTATAAAGGTTTTGCTGTACTTGTTGGAAATGAAATTGTCTAGAACTGAAATTCTTCATTTAAAATTTCAATACATTTTTAATTCTTCTAAAATTCTTTGCCTTCTAATTTCCTAAATTTACTGTCATTATTTTAAACCGATTGATAAACACAAAATCTGTACCTCTGAAGGTCTTTTTACTTTTTCCTTGATTATCATTTGATCTTTTTCTGAGACTAACTTTTGATTCAATGCTGTATTTTATAGATAAAACTTGTAGGGTGATGTTATGTCCCTCTGGACAGAATTTACTGCAGTCGTATCAGGTAGGAGAGATCAGTTTATGGAGTGGAATATCAGCTGGGAATTGTATGTTTATTAAAATTGATCTATTTTTGGTTAGCTCTTACTTCTAGTGTGTAGCTATTTGTGTTCCCTATCTGAAAGCTGTTAAGCAGAGTCCTTTTTCCTGACAAGTGCTAAATTCTTTATTTTCCTTCAACCAGTGATGCTGCCTGAAACTTCTGTTCAAGTTCTTTGTCTCTTGCCTGGACCCTCTGCTGCAGGGTGTTTCTCTCTCTCTCTTAGTCACCATTTATGAATTAACTATGCTAAAACTAGCAATTTGTCTCAATTCCCTTTGCTCTAGGCTCTTGATCTCCTAAGCCCTTACTTTGGTAGTTCTCTAATTCTTTTTTAATCCAGCTTTTCTAATTGTTTTTGGTGAGATAGTCTGTTTTAAACTAATCCACTCGAGCAGGGAGTAGAACTAATTTATCATAGTGTTTTTATTTTATCTGTAGATATTTTATATTTTCCTCATAATCATGTAATCATTTCAATCTGATTCTCACCAATATTAGTTTTTGTTATTCTAATGGCTGAGATATAGTCTGTCAATAGAGCAAGGTTTTGGTATTTTATTGGGGTTTTTGTTGGTTTTAGTGATGGGGAAGGGTTGAAATTGCTCCAAATTTAGTTATCTTTGACTAACAGGATTCCAAATTGTTTTCTTTCATTCCTAAGTTGTCCAAGAGTGTTTTCCAATTTGTTCACTTTTTGCCTTCACTAGAAGCTGTGCTCCAAAGACTGCTCCTTTAAATCACACCTGCCCCCTTTTAAGTTATGCTTACTTTGGAGCCCACCTCGTCCCTCCAGTGTGCGCTCTGAGCTACTTGGGCACATTGAGACCATTCAGATGTGGGATTTTGTCTTTCTGGCAGTAGTTTTAGACCAACATGCTTGTATGCCTGTTCTGTCTTCCCTGGAAGACATTATGGAAGTGATTATTTCCATCCATCCACCTTGTGGCAGGATGAGGCTGGGTGGTCATGAGAGCACATACTTAGTGATTTTTCTGACTTTATGTGAGAGTTCAAAATTCTTTTCAGATTATACTGAGTGTGATTTCATTACAGATTTGCCTTTCCTGTCTTTTTTTGAATTATTTTGCAATAAAATGATGGGAGACAAGAAATTAGGTTACTACAAATGTTTCCTATCTGGAACTTCATTCTTGAAATATGTACTGTATATAATTCAATGTTCAAAGTTATTTGTTTTTTCCAGCACCTTTATTGTACTTTTAATTTTAATGTACTTTTGTTTCCATTGTTGGGAGTCTAATTTTTTTGGTACCAGGAATGGAACTTGGTACCTCATGCTTGCCAGGGATGTATTGTGCACTGAGCTACATCCCAGGTCCGGAGTGGCAGCTTTAGTTTCCCTGCTACCCCTCTGAAGTTCATTATTTTCTCCCCATCTGCTTTATTTTCCTTTTTTCCAATTTGTCTTTGGTGCTCTGCAGTTCCACTTCTGATTGGTGTGATGTGCATAGATGTTCATTTTTTCTTGCTTGGACTGAATTTCTTTAATCAATAGACTGGTGTAGTATGATCCATTTAGATAAATTAGTAATTTTCCAAGTTTCCAAGCTCCATTCTGTTTCTTCCAGAACTCCAAAACACACACGTTAAATTACGTTAATTCACCAGTGCATGGCAGCACACACCTGTACTTGCCAACACTTTGTAAGGCTGAGGCAGGAGGACTTCAAATTTGAGTCCCACTTGGGAAAGTTAGTAAGACTCTGTCTCAAAATAGTTGAAAAGGGGGAATGTAACTCAGTGTTAAAGTCCTGAGTTCGATCCCCACTATCACACACACACAAAATTATCTTACATTCACTCTTTAAAACTTTCTTAATACGTATTTTCTACCTTTTGATCTCTATGATACGTAAGAATTTTTATCCATCTTCTAGTTCACTACTTTTCTGTACCCTATCTAGCACTAGCACTAATTTTTGTTTCTATACTTTCATTTCCAGAAGTTCTTATCTTCTCATTTCCTGTGTTAGTCTCTGGTTTATCTTACCTTTTTGACAATAGTAAGTATATTTGTTTTAAGACATTCGATAATGTCAACATCTGAAATCTGGATAGAACTTTCCTATCATTTTAACTGATGATGAAAAATTGTGGTTTCCACCTCTAGGATGGAACCAGAGCTCAGAGTTTACCTCAGTCACCCAGAGGCAATAAAACATGATTTGATGCTTGGGCCAACCAAGCTTTGCTCAGCTGGCGAGGCTCTAAACATCCTACTTTCTATGCCCAGTCCCTTGTCAAGTGTTCAAATCCTGCTAGGTAGA